TGCAAAGAGCTTTACTCGTTCTGTAGGACCACTTTCTCTCTCCTTCCTGAGAAAATTCCACGAGTGAAGCTAAAGCAAGTACCCCCACGGAGGTCCTTGACTGGGACGAACAATCCCCACGTGTGAGGCGGATTAAGATTGCTTTGAGGATATTCAAGATGTATATGATCAATTGTATGCGTAATTCCTCAAGCAAGATGAGAAGGTGCTCTCCTTGCGTGGTCGGGTCAACTCAAGTGAAGAAGGGACGAGAGGTCATCAAGTGGACTTGGTCAAGTCCAAGGCCAAAATATTTAGCTTAGAATATGAGAACAAGTCTCTCGCTGATCGAATACTTGTCATGTCTAAGAAGAATCTTGAGTCAAAATGTGTGAAACAAGATAAAGATTTTCATGAATAAACTGAGATCTCCAATAAAATTTCCCAATGCAATGAGAGGTTTGAAAGGATGTTATCTATGGGAAAGAGTGTAGGTGAAAAGCGAGGTTTAGGCTATCCGAATGAACACACCCACACTTCCTCCAAGACCCATTTTCTGAAGGGCATTACCAACCCATCAACCCCACAAGGTGGCACAAGCTCAAAAATTGTTAAGAATGGTATGGGTAGGAATTCAATGAATAAGGTTGCTAAAGAAGCCCAAATCATTGGAGTGTGCATACTGAGGGGCAGTTGGCATGCCCCTAATTGCTCGAGGCCTTGACAAACCTCTCATGGTAGGAAGATCCAATTGAAGATACACCAAACGTCGGAGAAGGACTTTCAATGGAGGGATATAGCGAGGAAAGGAGCTTCTAACCATGGAATTGGTTGGGATATAAATCCCGAGTTCTTGCATGCAGACTTGGAAAGTGATGGAGCAAGCTTTGTGGAGCCTAGCGAGGTTCGCCGCAGTTATTCCCATGGGGGTTTTAACCCCTCAACAAATAATAGCAAGGGTTCTTTACTTTCTATTGCACACAGTGTCATTCGTTAGCACACAAATGCACCCTGTTGTTTGTCGATTTCATTGTACAAATAGCTTCGAACCATTGTTGTGTAATTGGGTTTGTTGGGATGCGCCGGAGATAGAATTGAGTGAATTACTTGCATTTTAATTAAAATCAATCTTCATGGTTCAAAGGGTTTGTGGTGACGAAAAGGGTTCTCACATCCTTCGCTTCATATTTGACAGAATAGATAGTTGTGGTAGACACAAGTTTTAATTTGTAATGAATTTGGGGTGAAATTGAAAACCCTATTCACCCTCGCTTTGTATAGTGTCTTGGACTCCACATGTATAACCGCGAGGAAAGATCCATTGTGGGTTCACCCTTCAGGAACAACAATTGATATCAGAGCGTGGTTGCCCAGAGAATTTATGTCACTAAAAGTTGAAAGATCTATTTTTTTTTTAACTTGCCTAGTTTACCTTGATGAAATCTATCATTACAAGTAGTTAGTTTCGAATGGATTTTCAACAGGAAGGCGGTTCAATTTCATGACCACCACTCTTCGATGGATCGAGCTTTGCATATTGGAAATCTTGTAAGGGAGCATTTCTTAAAGCCACTTATGAGAGAGTGATGTTGACTCTCCAAGAGGGTTGGAGGCCTCCCACCCCCCCCACGCAAGTTGAAAGTGGTGAAGTGGTGGTTGAAGTAAAATCATCGATGGTATGGACTAAAAATGAGAATGAGTCCGTAGGGTGAAAGTCAAAAGGATGGAATGCGATATGCAACGCCGCGACACCTAAAGAGTTCTGGAAGATTGCTAATTGCAAAACTTCAACGGAAAGCGTGCGGCATCTTGGTTGTTTCCCATGGAGGGACTTCCTAGGTGAAGATGTCTCAACAGCAAAGTAGACCACTTAGTTCGAGGATGTGAGATGATGAAACCATTAGTGAATTGTATGCTAAATTACGTGACACTGTAAATTAATCATTCGCATTAGGTACTAAGGTTGACGATGTGGCCATCAAGTGGAAAACCTTGAGATCTCTACCCTAGTGAATTCCGTGTTAAGGTCACATACATGGAGGCAAGTGTCAACACGGGAAGACCTAGTAGGTTCTATCTTGTCCTTTGAGATGAACCTTCTTCAATCCCTTAAAGCTGGGTGAGGCCATGGCCTTGAGCTAAACTTAAGAAGTAGGAGGGAAAGTCCGAGTCATCCCGATTGGGGGAGGAGGACCCAGGCCTTGTTGTAAAGAAGTTCAAGAAATATTTCAAGACAAGTTGTGTTGACTCCTCAAGGTCAAAAGGAAAGGCTTGTAGGCGTAGTTCTCCTAAAAAGGATGAGAAAAAGGAAGCAGGACAGTCGAAAAGAAGTTGAGGGAAAGAGGGCAAGGTGTCCAATGCTTTCAATGTCAAGGATTCGGACATATTGCGTCGGAATGCCCAAATTCACGGATGACAGATTTGCGTAGTGAAAATAGGAGGGCTATGAAAGCCAGATGGCATGATCATGAAAGTAAGTCATCCTCGAGTGATGACCCCTCTTCTCATGATGATGCAAAGAGCTTTACTCGTTCTGTAGGACCACTCTCTCCTCTCCAACCTGAGAAAATTCCACGAGTGAAGCTAAAGCAAGTACCACCACAGAGGTCCTTCACTGGGACGAGCAAATCCCCACGTGTGAGGAGGATTAAGATTGCTATGAGGTTATTCAAGATGTATATGATCAATTGTATGTGTAATTCCTCAAGCAACGTGAGAAGGTGCTCTCCTTGCGTGGTCGGGTCAACTCAAGTGAAGAACGGAGGAGAGGTCATCCAGTGGACTTGGTCAAGTCCAAGGCCAAAATATCTAGCTTTGAATATGAAACAAGTCTCTCGCTGATCGAATGCTTGTCAAGTCTAAGAAGAATCTTGAGTCAAAATGTGTGAAACAAGATAAAGATTTTCGTGAATCAACTGAGATCTCCAATAGACTTTCCCAATGCAATGCGAAGTTTGAAAGGATGTTATCTATGGGAAAGAGTGTAGGTGATTAGCGAGGTTTAGGCTATCCGAATGAACACACCCACACTTCCTCCAAGACCCATTTTGTGAAGGGCATTACCAACCCATCAACCCCACAAGTTGGCCCAAGCTCAAAAATTATTATGAATGGTATGGGTAGGAATTCAATGAATAAGGTTGCTAAAGAAGCCCAAATCATTGGTGTGTGCATAGTGAGGGGTAGTTGGCATGCCCGTAATTGCTGGAGGCCTTGACAAACCTCTCACGGCTGGAAGATCCAATTGAAGATACACCAAACGTCGGAGAAGGACTTTCGAAGGACAGATATAGCAAGGAAAGGAACTTCTAACCATGGAATTGGTTGGGATATAAATCCCGAGTTCTTGCTTGCAGAGTTGGTAAGTGATGGAGCAAGCTTTATGGAACCTAGCGAGGTTCCATAAAGCTTTCTATTGCACACAAATGCACCCTGTTGTTTGTAGATTTTATTGTACGAATATCTTCGAACCATAGTTGTGCAATTGGGTTTGTTGGGATGCGCCGGAGATAGAATTGAGTGAATTACTTGCATTTTAATTAAAATCAATCTTCATGGTTCAAATGGTTTGTGGTGACGAAAAGAGTTCTCACATCCTTTGTGTCATATTTGTTAGAATAGATAGTTGTGGTAGACATAAGTTTTAATTTGTAATCAATTTAGGGGGAAATTGAAAACCCTATTCACCCTCACTATGTATAGTGTCTTGGACTCCACGTGTATAACCGCGAGGAAAGATCGATTGTGGGTTCACCCTCCAGGAACAACAATTGATATCAGAGCGTTGTTGCCCGGAAAATTTATTTCACCAAAAGTTGACATATCTATTTTTTTTTTATCTTGTCTAGTTTACCTTCACAAAACCTATCATTAGAACTAGTTAGTTTCGAATGGATTTTAAACAGGAAGGCGGTTCAATTGTATGACCACCACTCTTCGATGGATTGAGCTTTGCATAATGGAAAGCTCGTAAGGGAGCATTTCTTAAAGCCACCGAAGAGAGAGTGATGTTGACTCTCCACGATGGTTGGAGGCCACCCACCCCCACCACGCAAGTTGAAAGTGGTGAAGTGGTGGTTGAAGTAAAATCGTCGATGGTATGGACTAAAAATGAGAATGAGTCCGCAGGGTGAAAGTCAAAAGGATGGAATGCGATATGCAACGCCGCGACACCTAAAGAGTTCTGGAAGATTGCTAATTGCAAAACTTCAACGGATAGCGTGCGGCATCTTGGTTGTTTCCCATGGAGGGAATTCCTAGGTGAAGATGTCTCAAATGCAAAGTAGACCTCTTAGTTCGAGGATGTGAGATGATGAAACCATTAGTGAATTGTATGCTAAATTACATGACACTGTAAATTAATCATTCGCATTAGGTACTAAGGTTGACGATGTGGCCATCAAGTGGAAAACCTTGAGATCTCTACCCTAGTGAATTCCGTGTTAAGGTCACATACATGGAGGCAAGTGTCAACACGGGAAGACCTAGTAGGTTCTATCTTGTCCTTTGAGATGAACCTTCTTCAATCCCTTAAAGCTGGGTGAGGCCATGGCCTTGAGCTAAACTTAAGAAGTAGGAGGGAAAGTCCGAGTCATCCCGATTGGGGGAGGAGGACCCAGGCCTTGTTGTAAAGAAGTTCAAGAAATATTTCAAGACAAGTTGTGTTGACTCCTCAAGGTCAAAAGGAAAGGCTTGTAGGCATAGTTCTCCTAAAAAGGAAGAGAAAAAGGAAGCAGAACTGTCAAAAAGAAGTTGAGGGAAAGGGGGCAAGGTGTCCAATGCTTTGAATGTCAAGGATTCGGACATATTGCGTCAGAATGCCCAAATTCACGGAAGATAGATTTGCGTAGTGAAAATTGGAGGGCTATGAAAGCCAGATGGCATGATCATGAAAGTAAGTCATCCTCGAGTGATGACCCCTCTTCTCAAGATGATGCAAAGAGCTTTACTCGTTCTGTAGGACCACTCTCTCCTCTCTAGCCTGAGAAAATTCCACGAGTGAAGCTAAAGCAAGTACCACCATGGAGGTCCTTGAGTGGGACGAGCAAATCCCCACGTGTGAGGAGGATTAAGATTGCTCTGAGGATATTCAAGATGTATATGATCAATTGTATGCGTAATTCCTCAAGCAACGTCAGAAGGTGCTCTCCTTGCGTGGTCGGGTCAACTCAAGTGAAGAAGGGAGGAGAGGTCATCAAGTGGACTTGGTCAAGTCCAAGGCCAAAATATCTAGCTTAGAATATGAAAACAAGTCTCTCGCTGATCGAATGCTTGTCATGTCTAAGAAGAATCTTGAGTCAAAATGTGTGAAACAAGATAAAGATTTTCGTGAATCAACTGAGTTCTCCAATAGACTTTCCCAATGCAATGCGAAGTTTGAAAGGATGTTATCTATGGGAAAGAGTGTAGGTGATTAGCGAGGTTTAGGCTATCCGAATGAACACACCCACACTTCCTCCAAGACCCATTTTGTGAAGGGCATTACCAACCCATCAACCCCACAAGTTGGCCCAAGCTCAAAAATTATTATGAATGGTATGGGTAGGAATTCAATGAATAAGGTTGCTAAAGAAGCCCAAATCATTGGTGTGTGCATACTGAGGGGTAGTTGGCATGCCCGTAATTGCTCGAGGCCTTGACAAACCTCTCACGGCAGGAAGATCCAATTGAAGATACACCAAACGTCGGAGAAGGACTTTCGAAGGACAAATATAGCGAGGAAAGGAACTTCTAACCATGGAATTGGTTGGGATATAAATCCCGAGTTCTTGCATGCAGACTTGGAAAGTGATGGAGCAAGCTTAGTGGAACCTAGCGAGGTCCCCGCGGTTATTCCCATGGGGGTTTTCACCCCTCAACAAATAATAGCAAGTGTTCTTTAATTTCTATTGCACACAAATGCACCCTGTTGTTTGTAGATTTCATTGTACGAATATCTTCGAACCATAGTTGTGCAATTGGGTTTGTTGGGATGCGCCGGAGATAGAATTGAGTGAATTACTTGCATTTTAATTAAAATCAATCTTCATGGTTCAAATGGTTTGTGGTGACGAAAAGAGTTCTCACATCCTTTGCGTCATATTTGTTAGAATAGATAGTTGTGGTAGACATAAGTTTTAATTTGTAATCAATTTAGGGGTGAAATTGAAAACCCTATTCACCCTCGCTATGTATAGTGTCTTGGACTCCACGTGTATAACCGCGAGAAAAGATCGATTGTGGGTTCACCTTCTAGGAACAACAATTGATATCAGAGCGTGGTTGCCCGAAAAATTTATTTCACTAAAAGTTGACGTATCTATTTTTTTTTTTAACTTGTCTAGTTCACCTTCACAAAACCTATCATTACAACTAGTTAGTTTCGAATGGATTTTCAACAGGAAGGCGGTTCAATTGTATGACCACCACTCTTCGATGGATTGAGCTTTGCATATTGGAAAGCTCGTAAGGGAGCATTTCTTAAAGCCACTGATGAGAGAGTGATATTGACTCTCAAAGAGGGTTGGAGGCCTCCCAGCCCCACCACGCAAGTTGAAAGTGGTGAAGTGGTGGTTGAAGTAAAATCATCGATGGAATGGACTAAAAATGAGAATGAGTCCGCAGGGTGAAAGTCAAAAGGATGGAATGCGATATGCAACGCCGCGACACCTAAAGAGTTCTGGAAGATTGCTAATTGCAAAACTTCAACGGAAAGCGTGCGGCATCTTGGTTGTTTCCCATGGAGGGACTTCCTAGGTGAAGATGTCTCAACTGCAAAGTAGACCTCTTAGTTCGAGGATGTGAGATGATGAAACCATTAGTGAATTGTATGCTAAATTACATGACACTGTAAATTAATCATTCGCATTAGGTACTAAGGTTGACGATGTGGCCATCAAGTGGAAAACCTTGAGATCTTTACCCCAGTGAATTCCGTGTTAAGGTCACATACTTGGAGGCAAGTGTCAACACGGGAAGACCTAGTAGGTTTTATCTTGTCCTTTGAGATGAACCTACTACAATCCCTTAAAGCAGGGTCAGGCCATGGCCTTGGGCTAAACTTAAGAAGTAGGAGGGAAAGTCCGAGGCATCCCGATTGGGAGAGGAGGAGCCAAGCCTTGTTGTAAAGAAGTTCAAGAAATATTTCAAGACAAGTTATGTTGACTCCTCAAGGTCAAAAGGATAGGCTTGTAGGCGTAGTTCTCCTAAAAAGGAAGAGAAAAAGGAAGCAGGACTGTCGAAAAAAAGTTGAGGGAAAGGGGGCAAGGTGTCCAATGCTTTGAATGTCAGGGATTCGGACATATTGTGTCGGAATGCCCAAATTAACGGATGATAGATTTGCGTAGTGAAAATTGGAGGGCTATGAAAGCCAGTTAAGTCATCCTCGAGTGATGACCCCTCTTCTCAAGATGATGCAAAGAGCTTTACTCGTTCTGTAGGACCACTCTCTCCACTCCAGCCTGAGAAAATTCCACGAGTGAAGCTAAAGCAAGTACCCCCACGGAGGTCCTTGATTGGGACGAGCAAATCCCCACGTGTGAGGAGGATTAAGATTGCTCTGAGGATATTCAAGATGTGTATGATCAATTGTATGTGTAATTCCTCAAGCAACCTGAGAAGGTGCTCTCCTTGCCTGGTCGGGTCAACTCAAGTGAAGAAGGGACGAGAGGTCATGAAGTGGACTTGGTCAAGCCCAAGGCCTAAATATCTAGCTTAGAATATGAGAATAAGTCTCTCGCTGATCGAATGCTTGTCATGTCTAAGAATAATCTTGAGTCAAAATGTGTGAAACAAGATAAAGATTTTCGTAAATCAACTGAGTTCTCTAATGGACTTTCCCATTGCAATGCGAACTTTGAAAGGATGTTATCTATGGGAAAGCGTGTAGTTATATCAAAATGAACACACCCACACTTCCTCCAAGACCCTTTTTGTGAAGGGCATTACGAACATATCAACCCCACAAGTTGGCCCAAGCTCAAAAATTGTTAAGAATAGTATGGCTAGGAATTCAAAGAATAAAGTTGCTAAAGAAGCCCAAATCATTGGTGTGTCAATACTGAGGCGTAGTTGGCACGCTCGTAATTACTTGAGGCCTTGACAAACCTCTCACGGCAGGAAGATCCAATTGAAGATACACCAAACGTCGGAGAAGGACTTTCGATAGAGAGATATTGCGTGGAAAGGAGCTTCTAACAGTGGAATTGGTTGGGATATGAATCCCGAGTTCTTGCATGCAGACTTGTAATGTGATGGGGCAAGCTTTGTGGAACCTAGCGAGGTTCCCCGCGGTTATTCCCATGGGGGTTTTCACCCCTCAACAAATAATAGCAAGTGTTCTTTACTTTCTATTGCACACAGTTTCATTCGTTATCACATAAATGCCCCCTATTGCTTGTCGTTTTCTTTGTACGAATATCTTCGAACCATAGTTGTGCAATTGGGTTTGTTGGGATGCGCCGAATATAGAATTGAGTGAATTACTTGCATTTTAATCAAAATCAATCTTCATGGTTCAAAGGGTTTGTGGTGACGAAAAGGGTTCTCACATCCTTTGCTTCATATTTGTTAGAATAGATAGTTGTGGTAGACATAAGTTTTAATTTGTAATCAATTTGGGGTTGAAATAGAAAACCCTATTCACCCTCGCTGTGTATAGTGCCTTGGACTCCATGTGTATAACCGTGAGGAAAGATCCTTTGTGGGTTCACCCTCCAGGAACAACAATTGATATCAGAAGGTGTTTGCCCGGAGAATTTATTTCACTAAAAGTTGACATATCTATTTTTTTTTTAACTTGCCTAGTGTACCTTCACGAAATCTATGATTACAACTAGTTAGTATCGAATGGATTGTCAACAGGAAGGGGGTTCAACTGGATGACCACCACCCTTCGATGGATCGAATTTTGCATATTGGAAAGCTTGTAAGGGAGCATTTTTTAAAGCCACTGATAAGAGAGTGATGTTGACTCTCCAAGGGGGTTGGAGGCCTCCCACCCCCCACCACTCAAGTTGAATGTGGTGAAGTGGTGGTTGAAGTAAAATCATTGAAGGTATGGACTAAAAATGAGAATGAGTCCGCAGCGTGAAAGTCAAAAAGATGGAATGCGATATGCAACGCCGCGACACCTAATGAGTTCTGGAAGATTGCTAATTGCAAAAATTCAACGGAGAGCGTGCGGCATCTTGGTTGTATCCCATGGAGGGACTTCCTTGGTGAAGATGTCTCAACTGCAAAGTAGACCTCTTAGTTCAAGGATCTGAGATGATGAAACCATTAGTGAATTGTATGCTAAATTGTGTGACACTGTAAATAACCATTCGCAGTAGGTACTACGGTTGACGATGTGGCCATCAAGAGTAAAACCTTGCGATCTCTACTTGAGAGAGTTTCGTGTTAAGGTCACATACTTGGAGACAAGTGTCAACACGGGAACGCCTAGTAGGGTCTATCTTGTCCTTTGAGATCAACCATCTTCCATCCCTTAAAGCATGGTAAGGTCGTGGTGTTGAGCTAAACTTAAGAAGAAAGAGGGAAAATCTGAGTCATCCCGATTGGGAGAGGAGGGCCCAGGCCTTGTTGTAAAGAAGTTCAAGAAATATTTCAAGACTAGTTATGTTGACTCCTCAAGGTCAAAAGGAAAGGCTTGTAGATGTAGTACTCCTAAAAAGGAATAGAAAAAGGAAGCGGGACTGTCGAAAAGAAGTTGAGGGAAAGGGGGCATGGTGTCCAATGCTTTGAATGTCAAGGATTCGGGCATATTGCGTCAGAATGCCCAAAATTGAAGGATGATAGATTTGCATAGTGAAAATAGGAGGGCTATGAAAGCCAAATGGCATGATCATGAAAGTAAGTCATCCTCGAGTGATGACTCCGCTTCTCAAGATGATGTAAAGAGCTTTACTCGTTCTGTAGGACCACTTTCCCCTCTCCTCCCTGAGAAAATTCCATGAGCGAAGCTAAAGCAGGTACCACCATGGAGGTCCTTGACTTGGACGAGGAAATCCCCACGTGTTAGGAGGATTAAGATTGCTTTGAGGATATTCAAGATTTATATGATCAATTGTATGTGTAATTCCTCAAGCAACGTCACAAGGTGCTCTCCTTGCGTGGTCGGGTCAACTCAAGTGAAGAAGGGACGAGAGGTCATCAAGTGGACTTGGTCAAGTCCAAGGCCTAAATATCTAGCTTAGAATATGAGAACAAGTCTCTCGCTGATCGAATGCTTTTCATTTCTAAGAAGAATCTTGAGTCAAAATGTGTGAAACAAGATAAAGATTTTCGTGAATCAACTGAGTTCTCTAATAGACTTTCCCAGTGCAATGCGAAGTTTGAAAGGATGTTATCTATGGGAAAGGGTGTAGGTGATAAGCGTGGTTTAGGCTATCTGAATGAACACACCCACACTTCCTCCAATACCCTTTTTGTGAAGGGC